ATATATATATATATATTATAGTTTAACGAAGCATTGGATTCAAGCCATATAGTGCCCTCCAGTATAAAATCATAATCATATCACATGACTTCGTATCATGTATACAGTATATGTATGAACATGTGTGCAGGAAAGCTTTTATTTCTGTTGTAACAAGCATAGAAATGGCAGCTGCGCAAGTGATGGGAACACAGGAAGGTGGGATCATGGCATGTGTGTGTATGTGTGTGTGTGTGTCGGCAGGAGGAGTGTGTGGGGGTAAAGCCCTGTGGTGACCTGTGCCCCCAGCCAAAGAGAGGGGAAGTGGGGGGTGACTGAGGGCGAAATGTAGATGAATGGGAGTGAATGGAAGAACTTGACTTGTGGGGCCAAAAGGGGACTATTGTATCTTAACCTATTCTCTTAGGCTGTGTGCGTGTGTGTGTGCGCGTGCATGTGTGTGTGTCCAACATGGATATGAGGTTCAGTACAGATGGGCCTGTTAAGACTGAGCATGTTTCTTGTGAAAAGTATACTCATGCATGCACACAAAAAACTCCCTTTTGCACGAGGAAGAAATATTTTTACCCATAATGCCAAGATGACCTCTTACCCCCTTGTGCATCCACTGTGACATGCAGCAGCTTACCAAATAAAAGATGCTGTTGGTTAAGCAAAGGATGGAGGACGGATGAGAGGAGGGAGGGGAGCTCCGCCCTTCACCCTGAGTTCCTCTCAGTGCCCCCCCCCAAACTTTGATCTCTGGAGTTTAGATGGGGCACGCACACACACACACACACACACACACACACAAGCACGCACAGGCTGGGGCTGAGGTCAGACTTACGACCCTTGTCCTATCAGTATGATAATCTATGTCAAGTGCAAAAAGATGCACACTGGTGGTGTCCTACCCCCTGCAGACAGACAGACACACACACACACACACACACACACACACACACACACACACACACACACACACAGAACATGCACTGAAACACACAAACAGGTGACAACCCATCTAACTCTCTGAGGTATTTGGATTTAATAATTCAACTGTTCCTGGGTTGTCAGAAAAAATGGAAAAGGCAGGCAGAGGGAGAGAGAGAGAGCAAAAGAGGGAGGCAGAGAAGGCGGAAGAGAGAGGAAAAAGGCAGAGAAGAGAGAACAATAAGGGCTCATTGTTTGTTTTGTTCTGCTCTGAAAAAGAGGGAAGAGAAGCGCTTCCCTTCTGAGACTGACTCACAGAGATAGAGGCAGCTGTGAGTGTGAGCGTGAGTGTGTGTGTGTGTGTGTGTGTGTGTGTGTGTGTATCCGACAGTGAATAGGATTTAACCCGTCACGGCAATGAGTTTCTTTACCCATCCATGGACACAATGAGACCAGCCGGATATCAAGCTACCCACCCACCCACACACACACACACACACACACACACACACACACACACACATAGAGGCACACACACGTTCATTAGACGAATGGACAATATTGATTATCATAAGTAAAAGCTTTGTTCTTACTGCTAGATTACAGTGGCTTCTGTCGTCTCCTTCGTTCCCTGTAGGCCTATGTCCTTTGCGGGTGCTCCGTCGAGACAGACTCGGGTCAGTCTTACAGTGTGTATTCAGGTGTGTGTGTGTGTGTGTGTGTGTGTGTGTGCTTGTATTTGTGTGCGACGGCGAGAAAGCAGAAAGCAATAAGCCGGCTGAAATGGTGCCATCAGAGCTACATGATTGATCAATTGAATTCCATCATGGGAACTGGCCGGTGGGATTAAATGGGTCGCCGTGGGTTACCAGGCTAAAGCATCATACTGGCTTTATCTCCCCCCTGATTGGTCTGTCACCAAGAGACCTGGACCATACACTCACACTGCTCCCAGCATCTGCGTGTGTGTGAGAGAGACTATATGGTCGAGAAAGAGAGATTATGATCAAGCAGTGTGTTTGTGAGAGAGTGGGTGAAAGAGGTTTTGTGTACTGAAAAGGTACGGCGAGGTTTTGTGAGTTATGGAGCACTGTGTGAGTGTGAGTTTTGTTTTTGTTAGCAGCTAGATACGGTTTCATGATTTGAGGTTTGCTAGATGTCTTTGGAGTGAACTGAAAAACACCCTTTGTGCCAATGACATCAACTCTCAGAGGTTACTACTAAAACTGGGAAAATACAGTTTGCAACCAGTAATCTGTAGTATTTTACAGCTGAGGAATTGTAGATTAACATGCTAATCTACCATTTAAAGGATGATTCTCCATTACTACAACTTGGGTCTTTTTGTCATAGTTTTGGCCATTATTCCTCTTGGTAATATTAACATTGCACGCGTTATTTGTAAGATGTGGGTACGATGGGTAAAGACATATGAGCAATCAGATGATAATACAGGTTGGTTTGCCAACTACAGAAAACTAAGGCAAATGATTCATTTAGCACAGAAACTGCCTGTTGGCCCCTTTCTTTCTCAACCTTGACCCAATGTACTTGTCATAGTTGAGCGCACACATGCATCTCCTGTGCAATGGAGCGATTATTACTGACACGTCAGGTGTGCTCTTTAAGTTTTACCTCCAAATAAATGATTTAGACAATCTGTTTTAAAGGTTGTTGTTAGCTTGTTTACATCCTGTCCAACCTTTAGACCGCTCAACCTCATTGCTGAAGAACAATGTTAAATATTAGAAAATGTTGCAAAAAGCTATGGAAAGAATGTGGTTAAGGCAAATTAACTGTGGTAAGAATTCAACTAATTACACTTTATTTAATTTAATTAAATGGATTGAACTGCCTCAAGTGATGTCACCTGAGTCATCGTAGGTTGTGGTTGCTGACTAAAAGTTTATAAATTTTAAAAAAACAGGGGGTTGGAAAGAAGTGAGCTCACCAGACAATATCTCTGGTTCTGCTGTGATTTTGATCTTTTAAAAATTGTATTCTATTTAAACTGTCCATCCCATCCAATGCTAAATTGGTGAAGTACTCCTTTAAGATTAAGGAAAGATAGTAAGACCCAACTTGTTAAAACAATTATGATACCAGTCCTAATAGCAGTACCCTTACAGTTAGAGAAGTTTTGATAATGCTTGGTACTGGGTTATTTAGGTCGATACCTTAAAGTTATTGAGTACCGATACCCAGCCCTATCTTTAATGTCCAATGTGGCAATATGCCCTAAAGCCTTAGTTTGAGTTTGTTTATCTTTTTCTTTCTGTCTTTCTACATCACTCTTTGTTTTTTCTTTCGGATCACAGTCTGGCACAAATGGATCTGTATTCTCTGTCCAAATGGGAAAAAAAAATTATATATTTGAAGCCCCTTCCCCCTCTCCACCTGTCTGTCATATCACTCCCTCTGCCACCGGACACACACTCTCTACACACACACGCACACACATACACACACACACACCAAACACACAGTGACCCCCAGGACTAAAATAGGCTCTCAGGAGCGGTTTGGAGTGATGAATTGGCTCTATAGCGGGGGATTTTCACCCTCATCCCCTTTTTCTCTTTATCTTTTTTCTCTGGTTCTCTCTTTTCTAATCATTTGTGGGCCGCGACTCTTCAGAGTTCTTATAATTGTCTCGTTCAGTCCCTCAGCCTCGCAATAACTGCAGGATACGAGAGCTCACAGTCTAATACTGATACCGTAGCAATATATATTTGTGTGTCTGTGTGTGTGTATGTGTGTGTGTATGGGCGATACGACACGAGGGACGGACAGGTGTGTATATATGAGAGGCGAGGGTGTACTTTTGAGAGATCAAGAATGAGAGACGGCATATGCTTGGTAATGGATTGCATTTGTATAGCATTTTCTCTGAGTCTCCACAATCTACAAAGTCCTAAATCAGCTCACTGGGGTTCATTTGAGTCTATGCTTTGCTCAAACTTCAGCCTCCACATCTGCCTCGGCGATTTGTTTTATCAGCCCATCACAGTTTGCATCGTCTGTGCCTAGTTTTCTCCCTACAGTTTGCATCGTCTGTGCCTAGTTTTCTCCCTCCGTTATGCACGCCAGACTCCCGAAACCCTCTTTAAACCTCTTCTCTATCTCCCGCCATACAACTCCTCTAACCTCATTCCTCTCTCTCGATTGCAGGTTTGCAGGAGTCACCGCTGGCCAACGGGCACGGCCACGGTGGGCGAGACTTCCTCAGGAAGCAGATGAGAGGGGAGCTGTTCTCGCCGCAGCAGATCGAGGTATTGGACCGCCTGTTTGAGCGACCCTGTCCAATCCTGTCCGGCTCTGACCTCTATATGAGCCCTGACATTGGCAAGGTAAGGGCGTGGCACCATGCAGGCTCTGGGCTGAGGCTGAGTTTGGGAGCAGGTTGAGGGGTCATCAGGACCGGGAAAAGCAGGAGAAAACCTCACATTAAAAACACACGCAGGCTTTAAGACTAACTTACATACACCAATGCTTCCTAAAGCATTGTCTCTGCTTTTAGCTAACAGTCTGTCCTGCCTGCTATGCCTTGCCATGCCATGTCAAACTTGAATAAATCAGTCAGATTGCATAATGAAATACTCCTAATTATACCTCTGACATAATGCAGAGTCTACGCGTTCATTCTAATAGATTTTTTTTCTGGTTCTTTTCTGGGTTTTTTCACGGAGCGCTCTGAAAATGTCAGCATCAAGTTGTGTTTCGCCATCAGTCTGACAGACCGGTGTGAGCTCCCTGTGGTCTGATCAGCATTGTGATGGCTGCAGCAGAGACCCAGTCAGGCCTATTGATGTTCCTATAATCCAGATACACTGCAGGGGTTAATGAGCATATTGACCCGGCTCTTGCTGTGACCTCACTTCCTGCTGTTTGGGGACAAGGGACGAAGGAGCTCTGGGAATGTGCTGCGTGCGTGCATGTGTGTGTTTGTGTGCATGTGTGTGCACGTTGTTTGCACGTGAGGGGAGGGGGGAGATTTTTGTCTTAATATTGCATCTAAATTGACCTCCCGCCCTTTCTCAGCAGTTTAGTTCATGTAAACCTCAGCGGAATAGACAGGTGTAAGTAGCACACGGAATAACAAAATGACAACAAGCTAGCATTTGTATTCTCTCTACCTTTTTCTCTCTTACTTCTAATCTGCAGCCCTGCGGTCAACATTGAGGGAATATTCTTTAAAGATATCCCTACTTCAGGTTTATTTATTCAGCCAACGTCAAGGGCAAGAGGACAAACACACACAAGAGGAGTGGTAGTATATGGAGCCACATGCAGGCTACAGCCTTAGACCTCTGGGGCAGAGTTTGGCTTTTTAGCCCATTCACTTCCCTCCGACCAACACGGGGCGTGGAGTGGCACAGGGCGAGAGGTCGACAGGGATTGGCTCTAGTAGCTCTATAGACTGCAACTCAAGACTATAATACCCATGATTCATAGGTCAGTGTCCCCTATGAGCCCCGGTCAAGCCACTGGGGTTGGGCACAGGGGCTTTAAACTGCGAGTCGCCCCCGGGGGTCAAACTGGCTTTAGGGACGCTGCATTGTGATTACAAAGAGGCGCACACACACACGAATTGCCATCGCTATCTGTCCCTCTACCTCCGCTTCCTTCTCTCATCCTGTCTAGTCGACCACCCCTTGACCCCCCCCCCCCCCCCCCCCCCCCCCCCCCCTTTTTTCCCAGCTTGCATTTCCCAAAGGGAATGATTGACAGTCATACCCTTAACACTGACACCCTGACAGCTACAGCTCAGCCGCTGTGATCTGTGTGAGGTGTGTGTCTATGAGGCGGTGCTGGTGGGGTTATGGTCAACGAAGGTCACGTTGTGTTGTGACTGACATTCGTGAAAGATTCCTAGTCTATACTCAGGCCCTGCTGTCGATGGTGTCTTTGACGTGAGGTTGTGAGTGTGTGTGTGTGTGTGTGTGTGTGTGTGTGTGTGAAAAAGAAAAGGACGGAGCACAAGCAAGTAAGAGAGAACAGAAGTGCAAGTGGCTCTATTTCAGGTGCCGACAGTATATTATAGTGGTATACTAATATACTGTAATTTCAGCGGTCATTTCAACCTCCTCATTATCTTCTTGCACTGAAACACGAGCCTCATTTATTATTTCTTCTTCCCTACTCGTCATCCCACTTGAGGAGATAAAAAAAGTAAAATTGCTCACGTTCCTCACAAGCAAATCTTATTTCATCCGTCACCATTCTTCGCTGCTGTTAGTCCCAGACCTTTTCTTTAGCTTTCCTCCCTAACAAGCCAAACCTTTTATCTCATCTCGCTCTTGTTCCCCCTCTCTCCCTAGTAGTCTATTAAGCCCCACTATTAATTTGTGTGTGTGCTCGCGCTCGTACGTGTGTCTGCATGTGTGCCTGTCAGGGAGAGTTCATTTGAATTTCCCTTCAATCACTTCCTATTACCCAGGTGATAAATCAGCAATAGCTGATGGAGCCCCCCACCCACCAATGCTGCCCTGGGTCCAAATGCCCACCCCAGCAACAACCAGTCTGCCTGCACTGGGATGGAGAAAGAAAAAGAGAAAGTCCTTGTTGGTCTTTCCATCCAAAAAGCTTAAAAAGAAGCAGAGATGCCAAAGGTGATCTCTTCTGAAGGATGGAGATGGTTAAACTGGTCAAAAAAGGCTGACAGACTCATAATGCACGCTAGTACGGTTTATAAGTGCCCTACGCCTGATCTATTCGTAAGTGTAAATCTTTCAAAGCAGGTCACAGATGTATAGTTTTATTTTTATTTTTTTATTTTTTTATTTAAGTTCGGTCAATTCCTAAAACAACAGAGCACTGCAGTTTTTGACAAACATTACAGGAGGAAAATGTGTATTTGTTGGGGACTATTTTCAGTAGTGGATGAATACACATTTTGTACTCTAGTGAGTATTACCGATAGCAAGACAATGCATGTAGGATTGACTCAAAATGTACTACATGTTCATTGCATCACGTCATCATTTGATTTGCGCATCAGCTGATGTTTTTGTCATAGGTGCTTCCACAGAGAATGCGAACAATAAGCTGGGATAAAGCGACGCCGTTTTTTTCGGAGCAAAAAAATTTTTTTCTGATCAACCAATCACGTTGTGCTGAACGGACAAATTCAAAATGTACACTATAATGTACAACAACACAGAAGCTCTGTGGTCCGAACCAAGACAGTAAACTGTAAAAGCCAGACGCTGCTCTGGGTCAGTAGGATCCTGGTAGTTGGTACTTTTAGCCTTTTATTGGAAAAAAAAGTGTTCGCAAATTCACATCGCTGCCGGTATGTATAGTTTTGATGCGTAATATTGGTAGGCGAGTACTTCGCATTTTCGTGTCGCTATTTAAACACACAGTCAGACTTTGGCCTCACGGACAACACTTGTTAGTAGAATCAAGTAATTGTTGGTTTCACTTTTATTATGAGATTTGTTGACAAGAACGATATTTAATATCACCAGCCTTCTCCTTATCCTTTGTGTCACTGAAATGTATTCACTAGTACTCAATAGGACTTAACCACCAATAAAATATTATTTTTCAAAGTTCAAAATTTAAAACAATAAATTATACATGAACTAGAAATGTTAGCCCGATTAGTCATTCAAAACGTATGAACTTCTACAGCCTCTCCCCAGAGTTGAGGTCCATCTGGCTTGTCGGGAAATGAATACCCTCCCCACTGCTGCCATGCTCAGTTTGAGCGCAGATGAATTCCTTCCCCACAATCCCTGTCTCAGTTTGTGGGCCTCTGAGGGAATTGTATTTGTTTATAGCCAAGCCCTTTTCCATCAGGAGTACACAAGACAATGTGGAGGGAGAGAGAGAGCGAGCGAGAGAGAGAGAAATGGAGAAATCGGGAGCTATTTGGGGAATGGAGAGAAAGGGAAATACTATTATGCAAATGCTGCAAGCCAACGGGACCAGTCTCTCTGAGTGTGTGTGTGTGTGTGTGTGTGTGTGTGTGTGTGTGTGTGTATGTGTGTGTGTGTCAGAGGGTCGATTAGGGCTCATCTGTTATTGATGTGAAATTTGGACCAAACCATTACCTTCCCAGATCTGAGTCAGTGAACCAACCTCCTATGTGTGAGTGACGGGGATGAGAGAGAGAAAACTACAGCCGCACACTCTAATGTTCAGATATGTAGTAATTGTCCATCGTTGGGATGTAACTTGTTAGCTCAGCACCTTTTTGTTGTTAATGGAGAATATAAGGAAGCGGACAGCAAGAACAAGCCAATGGGAGAGTTGCGTTTATGTATTGCAAATCTTGAAAAAAAAACATCGGCTAGAATACGTGCTTCAATGCAGTCCACTCTCTTTTCTTAACAATCCGTATTTAGGCTACAGAGGCTAAAATGCAAATCTTCTATATACAATATGGCAGATGTGATACACTCCTGGCCTCTATGCACAACTGATGTCAAACAACAGAAGCTAACCAAACACCATTCCTGGTGTTTAGACAGAAAACTGGACTGCGTTAATTAATAAAAACACAAGGTGTGTGACGGCTTATCAAACGCCAAAACACTGCACAGCGGTTTATAACACTATTGGGACGGAGTTTACAACTCCGTCCCAATAGTGTTCATGAGATAAAGAGTACATATACACTGCTGGAGTTACAAAGTAGGAACACAGGATTTGTGCGCTTGCTTGCAACTTTGCAGGATGATGTCGCATTACGTTGCAGAAAAGCCAGTTCAAACCTTTAAACGGATGAGCTCTCTGCACACTGTGTCAAGGCAGAGCTAATGTTGGTCTGTTTCCCAAAAGAAACCTGTTTTCTTTTTTGCTTTACATATTTCTTTCTATCCTCCATGAATTTATCAAATGAATTTGTTTCTTTTTCCCATGCCCTGTTGTTGTTTGTTGTGTTTTAATTCAACTGGGAAAAGAATTTCCAGCAAACTTTTGAAATGTTGCAAAAAAAGAAATGTGAATCAGAGGTTGGCAGTAAAGGCTACGCTTTACAAATGGCTGTAATCCACAATTAAACAGAGTAGAGGTTGCAAACAGGGAAACAAAACAAGTTGCCATGGCCATCTAACCATCTACGAGAGAGAAATGGAGCGAGGTCTTCAGGAATTAGTTTCAATCAGGCCACTTTTAATTGTTCTTTCGTGTCAGCTAGTGTTGGCAATCTTTCATGCTGTCCGGAAAAAATGATGAGCATTCGCACGGTATGGGTAATCGGAGAAGACAGCCAAAACATCACAACGTCATGTACGTTAATGGGATTTAAGTTTCCAAAATCCATTCAGCACACCAACTCTTTTTTGGCCAAAAGCAAAGACCACCTCAAGGGAGCGTAAAAACTGTTTTGCGCAACTGCCAACATTTTACCAAATTTTGCCGTTTCCATACAGCTTTTGTATTTACTTACTATGTACCTTTTGGCTATTGTTAACTTCAACCTAAGCAAGTTACTTACTCCGAGTCCTCCTGACTGTGCTCATTATGTGCTGGCGTAGTCGCATGCCGTAAAGGAAACTGAACCACTGCATGGAAAAAAATATATATTTACTTTTTGAAAGAAAAAGTTTTTATTATTAGACAACATTTTAGTTTCGTCTTTTTTCTGTCAAAAATATTGCATGTTGATGTAGTGGCAGTTAACGTTTAATGACGGTGCCGTCTCTTCATCGTCTCCTCTTAGTCATGAAACAAAAGGTTTTTGACGAACATATTTAATCATAGTTTTCATTAATGAAATTAATACTGCTTGCATCCATTCCTTCACCCTTCTCCCTGCCTGTGACTTCCTGCCCCGGGTCCAGCTCCCCCTGCCACCTTTCCATGTAACCCTCCATCCTGCCCTGTACGTACAACTCCCCCCTCCACCACTCCCCACCCCCTCAAACCCCAGCCCCTCCGCAGCTGCGTCCCTCCCCCTCTGATGAGGGCTGATGGCGCTGTATGAGCGGTGGAATTGACAACATTTACGGGGCCGAATGAGAATGATCCATCTTCCTTAGTGGGCCTGTCACCCCACTGGCCAAACTTCATCATGGCCAATTACCACGGCAGACCCCGTTCTCCTGTGCCGCTGCTGCTGCCTGGCCCCCATCTACATGGCTACATGGACACATTAGACACCATTATAATAAGACAGAGGGCGGCCAAGATGGGGGAGGAGGAGGGGTGCAGGGATAGCATGTATGATTGGGTGAACGAAAAAAAAAAACTACAGGTGTGATGAGTGAAGTGGGGGAGAGAGGGGCGTTAAGAGAGAAAAGACGGCTTAAAAATGTGTCGGAACTGTAAAGAGAGCGAGAGAGAGGGAGAGAGAAAGAGAGAGAAAGAGAGAGAGAGAAAGAGGGGGGCGTGTGTGTATGTTGTGTAGTGTACTGGGTAAGCTCTTATTTGGCAGGTCACAGTCCAGTGGTTGTGTTGTGTGTTGACGAGCACAGGGGTGTTTAAGAGGTCAGTGAGCACAAACACACGCCTACACTTACGCCTGCACACACACACACACAGATGCAGAGGTATTAAAAGGGTCAGTGCAAAACTCTCACCTCGTCACCTAAAGGAAATTCTGATTGACGTCATTAGTGTACCCTCGCGCACACACACACACACACACACACACACACACACGCACACAAAAGAGGAGTGGATCCAGTACATGAGGGAAAGTAGAAAATGTTTTCTGTCGGTTTGTGCACAAATTAAGTCGTAGCCATTGTGGAAGTAAGTCACAAGAATTTTGTGATCACTTAACTTAGAGAAAAGACAAACTACATCGGCACCGACTATGTATCTTTGAGCTAAATTCAACAAAACAATTCAAATGAGCAAAAGGATTTACAATTTACACCACTAGTGTGAGCGCCCCGCTTTTGTGCATCTCTTTGGTTGTGATCATAGACTGTACATAAGAAGTGGACGCAGACACCTTGACTTCATTCATTGGTTTGTGGACTGCTGTTTTGAAGCCATGAGTTCGGCATTTTTGCCATTTATACAAGAGGGTGGAGGTAAATACGACATTTTTTTACGCAAACTATAATGTGACAATTAACTTTCATGAACTGAAAACACACTGTGAAAGGGTTGAAGTTCTAAGATGAAAACAGACAACTCCCAGACTAGACAACGCAGTGGTAACGACCTGTCAATCACAAGGTAGCCCCACCCTAAAGCATACCCTGCTTTATGGTCTCTTTGACTCTAAATGGACTGAATGCTGTATTGAAGAAGACTTGAAACTAGAGATTGAGACCATAAACTAGTAGTAGGGTAATTTTCCCATAGACTTCTATACCCAGGAGGCCGGTGTTTGTGTCCCATGTGAAACCAAATTCAATGTTCTTCTAAATTAGGTGGGCTAAGTGGGAGGTTACATAAAGTCCAAACCATGATTATCCTGTCTTTAAACTTATAGTTTTGTTGCCTAAACATTAACTTGTTTCTGTCACATTCTGGGTTGTTAAGAGGTTGCTGTCATTTCACGTATTTCTGTGAGATCACGTTGCAATAAACACACACGCACACACAGGCAGGTAATTTGCCCATCATGATTGTAGCAGCCCTGAGAATCGGTGGTTAATCTATATATAGTTGGTCATCAGTGTCGACAGCATCACTCTAAATCACCACACACACACACACACACACAGATGAGGTGGAGAGATGAGGATGGATGGGTCATGGCTCGGTGTTCGGGTCAGACACAGGTGAGCGGACAGTTTCAATTATCCATCTATCTGTCTGCATTTTGGTTTAGTGATAGAGAAGGCTAACCAGGCTGTTATAGATGCATGATCCCGCTTCATCCAAATGTCATGATCTTCATTGTACTGCAGACAATAGATGTTATATTTAGTCATTTATTTTGCATGAACAGACTTATATTTTTAGCGTTTTGTAATGTGATTTTTTATTTTTTCCTGAATTTGTGGCGCAAGTATGGCACACGTGAAATCAGTTACCACGAAATAAATTACTTTTTTTAAAACAAAAAATCCTTTAACAAATTGAATAAAAACATCTTTATTATCTTCTACTTGCAAAGATTTCACAGTTTCATCCTCCGTATGATGAACCAAATTATATTATTATGTTGTTTTTTTAAAACATGCATTTTGACTCTTTTTGATTTGAACTGTAACTTCAAGCTTTTACTTTTTTAAAGCTTGTACAGCTAGACAATAAGCAAGATATTGCTCTGTCGCTTCTGTCTCCTCTTCTCTATAGGTTTTTACCTTCTGTAGAGTGTGTGCATGTATGTGTGCATGTGTGTGCATGTGTGTGCGTGTGTGTGAGTGTGTGTGTGCGTGCGTGTGTTGAGTGCACTGGGAGACTGTGCGTACGTGTGCTGAGATGATCACAGTTCTTATTGTTGTTGGTATCTGGGGACACAAGAGGCTTTGTGTTAGCCATGGTCCAATGCGATGCCACAGTGTGAGTGTGTGTGTATGTATGTGTGTGTGTGCGAGGGTGAGAAAGCTGAAGAGAAAGAGGGAGCTGATCCTGTGGTTATAGACTGTTGGACTTAGTTGTACAGTAAATCCCTGTCTTTGTAAACAGATCAATAAACTCTCAACTGTAGGTGTGTTTCTGTATGTTTCTCTCTCTGTCTGTGTGTGTGTGTGTGTAAAGCTTCTTTACTATGAGGGAGGGGCTGCATGTTGGAAAATGTAGCAGGATATCACAAACGGATTGATCACATCCGTAAGCAACAGCGCTGCAGTATATTCACGTTGTATGGAACAGAAAACCTCATGATTTGTTCTGCTCTATTCTTTTCTCTCTCCACTTCCTGTCTCGGCCCAGACGTCCGATTACTCGGCCATGGCCTCGCTAGCCGGCGGACTGGATGAGATGAAGAACAGCTTGGCCAATCCCGGTGCAGGGGCGGAGTTAGGAGCCAGCGTGTCGGGTCCACAGTCCTATTCACTCGTCCCAGGTAAGAAAGACGTCCGACCAATATTTGCACTCTGAATTAGACTTGTTGTTACCTGATTAAAAACTCGATCTAATTATATATAAGAAAAGAAAGACGTATTTTCAACGTTTTTCTTTATATCGTTTTAGATTTTTTTGGCAACACACCTGAGTCTGCATACATTACTTTGTAACCAAATCAAATTGCACAGTTCTAGTGTAAATTTAAAGCCTTTTATTTTATATTTAAAAAGTATTTTTTTATACGTCTGTTCTATGCCCAGTGCGGTTACATTTGATTTATGGTAAGAAACCTGAAAAGTCCAAATATTTCTATCATCATTTTAGTAAATGAAAAATAAAAAAACACAGTGAATCCAACAATAAAATAAGCTTCATTTTCAATAACAACAAAGAGTCTGATTTTAGGTGAGAATATTAAATCTCAAGCCTCTATTTAGGGAAGCTATGCTACAAAATAATGACAAGATGCAAGTTTGCAGCTAATTGAATCTATTGGGACTGGTGTGATGCATTTTGTTGCTCTGGCTGTGGGATCACAACTAATTCCACATCAATATATGCAAGAGAGAATTTACTCATAAATCCACTGGAAAAACTCCAGCCTTTACTGCACAGGTCTGTACAGTAATTCACATTCCAAACACACTGCAGCCGAACACCTTTTAAGTCCACCTCAGCAGCTACATGGACTCTAAGTGATTGAACCTGTTTAAAGACATCAGTGCTTTGGATCTCATGAGAGGCGAGAAGCCCAGAGGAAAGGAGGAAAAGAAAGGCGGAATGACGGAGGGAAAGTGAGAGCCTCGTCTCTCCCTCCGTCTCCATTTAAGGGGCGCCCGGGAGAGGTAGTGGTTAATTAAGAGCAGATCTGGGAGCACTTGGCAAAGGCTTCGACCGTTCCCATCTATAATGAGGGGAATCATAGAGCTGGGAATTTGGGATATCTGGGAATGGGCTCTTTTTTTTGTGCCCTTTGAAACCGCTGAGGAATATTACCTGCTCAAGTCAAGAGAGAGAGAGAGACAGAGGAAAAGGGAAAGAGATAAAAAAAAAAAAAATTCCATTTCTGCCTATGCATGCAAACACACACACATTCATATTCACACACACACACAGCTTCTTAATAGTATGCATGCATTTCCATGCCGGCTTTTTTCCTCAGAATTGAGCTCCCTCTAGGGGATCAGACGTCTGCATGTTCGATGCAATGCTATTGCACCCTTGACGTGCCAATACTCTGGACACACGCCGTGGAGCAACATTTACACATTCAATCCTTCCTTTCTGAGGCCTTTCCAAATCTGTAGGAAATTTTTTTTCCGCTTTACCCTGAACTCCACGCAGTCCATTCCAGTGCAAAGGGACACACGGTGCACCCTTGGTTCCCTCCAGGTTTGACATATGTTGCTCTGATGGCCGTTTGATGGGGAAGCGTTGGATGGGGAGACGGTGAGAGAGAAAGGGAGGCAGAGGATGTGTGCTCGTGTAGCTGCGAGTGAGCACGGAGAGGAGACTTGTACTTGTTTCGTTGACCTCTACGCCAAAGCTGTGGAGAACAGATACATCAACACAACTGGCATACATATGCACAGATACACTGCGTGCACAGAGGCACAAACACACACACACACACACACACACCTCAGAGGATCTGGCCCTGTCTGCCCCCTCTAAGTTGGGCTGTGGAGAGTCCATCTCTCCCCTCTTCCTCCCTCTCCTCCGTGCCCTGTGCACTGACCCTGAGCGGATGAGTAGCCCGTCTGCACTAATGCCTCGCTGTCGCGTCAACCAGCGAGAAAAACTTTACTACGCCAAGACAGGAGAGAGGAGGCGGAGAGGGACAGAGGAGGCTGGAGTAGAGGGGATCTGTGGGAGAGAAACACTAGTAGTGAGGGAGGGAGGTGAAGAGGCACATATTAAGTGAAGAGGAGAGGAATGGGAGCAGATGAGATGCATGGAGCTTCGGTTGATTAGTAACCTGTATTTATTTTTTGCTTACTTCCTTTCCTCTTATCATCTCTTCTCCATCTGTTCGCCTTGATTGTTGTTTCTATTTTCCAGTAAAGTCGAATCAGCCGATAATCTTTTTTTCCCTGGAGTGTTTTTTTTAGCAACACTATCGGCATGGCTCTAATGAGGCAATGTCAGTCGGTCGTTCCGCTGCTTTGGTCCAGACCATAGACAGTATATAACAAGTGGTCGTAGTCAACTTGACGTCACCCATTGGTTTGTTGGGTGGCATTTTGAAGCCTCCAGTTTGTCATTTTAGCTTTCGCCATCTTGGCTTTTTGCAACCAGAAGTGTTACACATACTAAAATAAGATAAGATGAACATAAGATGAAAACACAGACAACTCCCAGAGCGGACAACACCGTGGTAGCGACCTGTCAATCACAAGGTAACCCCACCCTAAAGCATACCCTGCTTTATGGTCTATGTTGGACCATAATTTACTAAATGAACATCATGCTGTATTGAAGAAGACTTGAAACTAGAGATTGAGACCATAAACTCATGTTTACAATGTTTACTGAGGTAATAAATCAAGAGAGAAGTAGAGACATTTTCTCATAGACTTCTATACAATCTGACTTTTTTTGCAACCAGACGAGTCGCCCCCTGATGGCCATTAGAAATAGTGCAACTTTAAGGCACTTCCACATTGGCTTCACTTTTTAGACCCAGAGGCTGCCGCCTTTGTACAGACATTCGTGGTCCCCGGAGAGTGAATCCTAATGACTTTGGTGACCCTCTGACCTTTCCTCTAGCGCCACAATGAGGTTACCATTTCAGTTTTTGAGTAAAATGCTTGACAACTTTAACTTTTAATCTTGCACTGCCATCATGTAAAACATGTAATGTTTCTAATGACCAAATACCTGCAATAGGTACTGACATTCCCATCAGCCTCAGCTGTACTTTGTGTTAAGCGCCAATTAGCAAATGTGAGCATGTTAACATGCTAGATCGTGAACATGATCAACATTATACCTGCTTAACATCAGCATTTTTAGCACCATCATTAGAAGCATGTGAGCAAGCTGACATCAGCATTTAGCTTAAAGCACCACTGTGCCTAAATATAGCCTCACAGAGCTGCTAGCATGGCTGACCTGTGACTAAGATTTGTTCTGAACAGAAAATGTTATAGTTGAAAAAAAATGTTGTTGGCAATACAGTTTCTAAATTATCTCAAATATCTTTGGCAATTTTTTTCTGTTATCGGCCGACATATTTGCTTATTTTGATACATTTTCTATTAGCTGATATTAGCTGATAAACCAGCATGTAATGGAAAGTAACTAAATACACTCCTGCGTCTTTGTCTTCCCTGCTGTCTCCATCTCATTTCACACCACCTTTCCCTTCTCCATGTTTCTCATGTTCTCTCTCCCTCTCCCATCTCCTCCTCCTCCTGCTTCTCCTCCTCTCAGTTAGTTAGCGGTGGTTAAGTGGAGGGGAAGTGAATGGGATTGATGGTGTTAGCATCTGAGCTGTTTATGATGATGATAAATGTGTGTGTGCAGGGTGGGGAGGGGAGGGCGTCGATGCATGTTTGTGTGTGTGTGTGTGTGTGTGTGTGTGAGATGATGATGAATGGAGGGCTCCCTCTCCACGCACTCCCAATGTCTACTGCGTGCAAACATAGAGAAATGATTTGGGCTGACACACTGTCATGTAGTCTAATGCAGTTATATATCCTATCCACCAAGTGACGGGCAGAAGAGGTTAGGAGGAGGAGGAGGGGGGTAAATTAATAGATGTCTGCGGACAGAAAACGAGGAAGAAAGAATAAAAGGAAGAGGGCATCCTAAATGTGCTGCAGCCTTAACATCGCAGTAATGATCCTGCGTGAGCTATAGAGTTTTACAGGTGACACTTAGATATTAGATTTAGATATCTAGTCATTGTTGTGGCTCACTGGGACACTTCAATGTTAATGTTATTATCGTGAATGTTATTGATGACACCTGTGCTTTTCCTGCTGTGACGTCAGAATGTCCGCAACGGCAAATTAGCTGCACAATCAGTCATATATTACATTTAAGTTAGTTTTGAACCTTTTTTTTTGCATTAAAAGTCCATTTCTGAGGAGAGGTGTTGACCAGTTTCAGAACTTCTGCATGGTCACAGTAATCTCCGTATCTATGGCAGTTAGACCAAAGTAGGCTAAAAGTTAACTACGTTGTTGACTACGTTTAAATACACCAAATATTACGTTCTTTGCACTTATTCCAAAAAAGACGACAATCCTAATAAGCTGTTTACATAGCAATTGAAAATGAATATTCCACTAATATTCCCGTTTGGATTCAGCCGTGCATATTCCGATTAACGCGTAACAACCCCATGCCGTATTATCATCACAGAGGCCAGTGAATCCCACGTCGACGCCGTTCACGGCTGTTTTTGACAAGGGTTGATGCCCTAACATGCCGTTTATCATGTCAAAATACGGAAAAGTGAAACAGCAGGAGCCGCTTGCGCCATTTTGCTCATACGGTGGCGGACTTGTTCGACCATGCGAACACGGTCATTCCTTCGACCCACTTCTTGAAAAGGTCGGCGTTGCGGTATTTGCGCATATCCAGAAACCTGTTGATTTCCAAGTCTTTCATAATGCTTAAAAGCAGGTGTTTTTCTACTTCCGACCAGGAATGTGGGCTTTTCTTTTGGGCATGCATCTCTACTTCAGCTTTACCAACTATAGGCTAGTTGGTTTGTGTACAACGCACAGAGCTGGTTGTAAACAGCAAAGTTCCTTAAAATACCCTATTGAGACGCATACTCCCAATGCACTGTCTACATGGCCAAAGAATGCTCCTAAAACCTGAATATTATCGTTATATCACATGTCTTAATCGGAAAATGCTCCATTTGGAATAAGGCCTAATTCAGAATATCCAATGTTATACAGTATGGTGCTTACATGAGCCATCTCAAATCTGGAATAGTGTCATATTAGGAATAATAGTGGAATATTAGTGTGCATGTAAACATAGTCTATGCCACACTATGGTTAAAACCGGTTTTATGGTTCCTATGCTGCGCAAATGTTATTAAAACAAACAATTTGAAGAGGGACAGTGCGGAATTCAGAAATCAAAAACACTTAATTTAAAACTTCAATTTGGTGCTGCAACAATCAGTCGATTAATCAATTAGCCGTTGGACTAAAGAACGACAGTTTGCAGATTGATTGATGGATGGATGTCATGATATTGTTGGTTAAAACTGTTATATGACCGAGGATGTGATCTAAAAGTGTTAATAGATCATCAATAGCTTAATTTTATCTCGGCTTTAAAGCACAATGGTTAGAGCCCCTTTAAAATTTGATTATCTAGTGTATTACATTTTTGGTAAATAAAGTAAATGTCTTTGGGTTTTGGTGTATTTGGTGTATTTTGCATGCAGAACTGCTAGGATGCACCAATATGACGACAACGACAATATCGATGTTAATATTGATAGCAGGAACGTATTGATGACAGCATACGTGTGTGTGTGTGTGTGTGTGTGTGTGTGTGTGTGTGTGATTACAGGTCGAGACCTAGCCAGCACCACTCTGCCAGGCTACCCTCCTCACGTTCCTCCCACCGGACAGGGCAGCTACTCCACCCCGTCCCTCACCGGCATGGTACCTGGTGAGTACACACACACACACACTTACTCAAACAGTTTCACACTTGCCTTTCCTTTACAGTAATTCTGTCATTTCTCACCACCCGTCATCTCAGCAGATTGGATTACTGTACATAGTATCTGTTCGAATTCCCACTGGATGTGTGTGTGTCTTCAGGGGGTGTACTTAGCTTTGCCACTTCCTCCTTCTTGTCTGTCTACACTATGGCTGACAGCATTCCCAGGGGGTGGCATGTGTGTGCATCTATACGTGTGTGTGCGTGTGTGTGTGTATCATTAGAAACCAGCCACAGTAGCACAGCTGTCCCTCCTCAACATTAGTAATTTGTTTTTAATGAGAATCACCAGTGACCCACGACTAATTCATTCATTCCCTTCCACTCCGCCTTCCACGCCGCTTTTGTGTTTCAATCCTGGACCGCCATTCTTGTCCACCCTCTCTCTTTCTCTCTTTCTCTCTCTCAGTCTTGCAGTGGTGGTCGTGGTCAGTGTGAAGCACACTGCAGAGAAATAAAAGGGTGAAACACAAGATGTGCTGAAACAAAGTCAAAACACTGTTGTTTACAAGTTCTTGTCTCTGTGTATTCCCAATCATCAGTCTCTGTGACACACACACACTCTCAGCGGACATGTAGCAACAGCACGTCCAAAGACGGGTAACCCTGTCGCCCTGTCCCCCTGCGCTCACCCCGTCCCGTCCTCAGGTTTGACAGCATATTTGTGTGTATCTCTCCGTGTGTGTGCTGGCAAGCGGTTGTTTGTGTGCGCGTGTGTTTGTTTTTGACAGTGTGTGTGTGTGTGTGTGTGCGCGACCTTGACACCGAGCTACACGAAGGGAGACCCCTGAGCCTCCCCCCCCTTCCCCCCTTCCGACCCCCTCTCTCTCTTTCCCTCCCCTCGTCTCCTAAACAACCTGACATGCCGCCGACACCGCGGCGATGACAAGGGGAGGATGTTCGCACCCAGGGATGCCATGGAGACCGCATCCCGACCCCACCTGACAGACGCAGCTAAACATACACACACACACACACAAAGGATGGTGCGATGAAAGGAAAACTTGTTGGGTTGTACATCCAAATACACACACACACACACTCTCCCAGTCTCCACATCTAAATTCTTCTCAGTGAATATTCAAAGCTGCCTGAATCTTTGAGCCGACGAGAGTGACTGGAGGAGATAATCTCCCAACTTTGCTCTCTACTGCTTCGCCGTGTTTTATCTCAGCACTTCTCGGGCAAATTATCCTCCTTTTTTGTTCGCTCTGTCTAATATCATACCTTCATTAAGCAAGCAACTCTCCTCTGCTGCTCTTCTTCTTCTCTCTCTCTCTCCCTCTCTCTCGCTGCAGCAGGGGGGCTGACACTCAGAGGGGGTGTAGAGGAGCAGTGAGGCAGAACCGACAGAACGAGAGGGAGAGAGGAGGGATGGGGGGCGCATCAGGGTCTGTGACTGTCAGCTATGGGAGAGGGATCCCCCCCCGGGAGGAGTGAAGGTTCAGGAGAAAAAGAAAGAAAGAGTGTGGGGGGTGAAAAAATAAGAGAGCAAGTCAGCGGAGAGATGTCGAGAAAAAAAGAAATAGAGGAGAAGAAATGGGGAAGAATGTTGTTTTGATGTGAAGGGTGACGGGGCGGTTGTAGTCGGGCGGGCCAGAGGACGAGTAAGAAAAATGAAGAGGAAGAGGGTGAGGGGAAGAGTGGGAGGGGAAGACGAGAGGAACAGCAGACCCCAGACAGCAGGCAGTAAATGAGGGAGAAAAGCTACGCCATCATCCACTGAACGAGAGGACAGCTACAGTCTCGCTGAGATCTCCTCTTTGAGTCACTCGGTCTGCAAACCGTTCCGTTGAAAGCAAACGGGAGGTCGAAGCTCAACGCTGTGAGCAAAAGAAGTCCTCCAAACCAAAATGATAACTTTTGTCATTTTAAAACAAACAACTAACGCAGTCGTCTCTTTCACGTGCACATTCAATTTGAGCATTGCTGTCGTGTTCCAGAGAGGTAAAGCCTGCAGTGATACTAAAAGCTTTTAATGAGGTGCAAAACACGCTGCTTGTCAAAGCATTTCAGCACCTTATTAACAGTTTTTACTGTAACTCTATCCTGATTATACAGCACGAATATTCTAGCTGCACCACTGCAGTAAAAACAAAACGGGATACTTTGACCTATGGTTGCTCTTTTCAGGTCTCTGTTTGTAACTTCATTTACACATTCGTAAGACAGTAATACAAAAACAACACCCTGAAGTGTAAATTTCAGTCTGGATAGCTCTCAACTTCAGCTTCATTGTTTTTTAGCAAAGGCTGGTAGCTCAAAAACAAAAAACAAGGCACAGTAACAGGTTTGGCATCCTGTTTCTCAAGGACAAAGCCAAAGAAACAGAATCATCCTCTTCAACCTCCGCTGTTTCTAAATATGCTGTTTTCTTGTTCTGTGTTTGCTTTCAGGTGGAGATTTTTCCGGAAGTCCGTATTCCCATCCCCAGTATTCCACATACAACGAATCCTGGAGATTTCCCAACCCCAGTTTATTAGGTAGGTGTATCCCATATCAATGAATTTCCTATTCATCCCACCTCACAGCCCAGTTCCCAGCCCAACCTCTCTAACATTCTCTTGTACTACGCTGTATCTTTCATGCTCCACTGTTCCGTTTTTTTCCCCATTACAGTACATTTCTGTCTGTATTGTATCGTACAGTACAATACAGCATAGACACACTAATGGTTCTGTGAAAGGATGTTTTAAAAAAGAGGCAATTTGGGGTGTGAATGGGGTCGAAGAAACGGGAAGAGAGAGAGTGAGAATGGAAGGAACAGATTAACCGACATTTATCAATGTTGCGTATTGAGATTTGTGGGGATTTCATCAGTTATTGTGTAGGAAGTTGACCAGTTCTTTTTCATTTTTCATGTAGTCACCCTTACATTAACGATTAAGACTGAACCAAAATGCCACGAGCAGTAATCTGCCGGACAACAATGAGCAATACCAGTTAATATATATATATATTTATATGTAGACAACCTGAAAAAAGATGTGACAGCACCATCCACCACTAGACATTTTAGGGGGTCACGTTTAAAGGTGAAACGGCCAGCGGGTGACAGTGTAATAAAAGTCAACAGGTGCTGCGCTGACCTGTAGTGTGTCCCCCCTACACCCTTTCCCTCTTGTCTCAACCCACTTCCTTCCACCCGTCTGTCCCCAGTGTTCCAGCAGGATTATGGGTCTCTCCTGGGGACGGAAATCGGCTGCTCCTCCAGCCTCTTCACCAGCCAGGCAGGACAGATGCAAGGTAGGTGGACCAAGAAAGACAAAACAGAGAGAGTGCGACAACTCGGGTGCATGTGAAGAGCTGCAGCGAAAGCATAGAAAGAATGGGGGGGGGCGAAGGGAAACTTTGGTCTGATCACACGAGGACAAGATGCACATCAGGAGACACTGAGAGGTTTAAGATTGATGGCAGCGATGTAGAGGGAAGGATGAGAGTAGATAAAATGAAAGAAAGAGGTAGAAGGGGAGACAGGGCATCTGAAGTCTTGACTGAGTCTAAATAGTTTGTCAGGCCGGCTTAATGCCTCACTTCCCCAAAGAGCCTCCTGAGATTACCTGGACTGTGGACAGACATAACCTGTCAACACACAGCCCGGCTGATTGATGGAAGTGACAGAGACAGGTGTGTGTGTGTGTATGTGTGTGTATGTGTGTGTGTGTATGTCTGTGTGTGTGTGTGGAGGCTTGTGATTTTCTGTGTGTTTAAAGGTGAGTGAGTGTGGGTTTCTGTGTGTCTTTGGGGTTACAGTATTGAATTGACCTCCTCCCTGAGGAGAGAATAGACTCAAGGGATCAGCAGTAGTAGAGCTGTACTCAGTGTGTCAGCTTAGACTGTCACTTAGTGTGTGTGTGTGTGTGTGTGTGTGTGTGTGTGTGTGTGTGTGTGAGAGAGAGAGAAAGAAAGAGAGGTGGGAGACGACGAGACAAGTGTCAGAAAGTAGACCGAGTTCATTTCATTGGTTTTTTTTTTTCATTAGCTTCATCAGCTCATGTCATCTCCTCGCTGCCTTTAACTACTCACATTGAAAGTAAAATATAATCTTAACAGAAAATTGAAGCTGCTCATTCCACAGTTTACATTCCAGTAACCCAAAGTAGTTGAAGGATAATTCAGATTTATTACAAGAGCCTTATTTTTGTCATTTTAACCATCATTCCAATCGGTGACACAGAGTTCGGCGTTTTGGTCGACATCACCTTGGCTTTTCACAGCCAGAAGTGACACGAGAGGGTGGAGCAACTGACTGCTGAAGAAGAAATATTTTTTTGGCCACCAAAATGTTACAATTGACTTTCATGAAGTGAAAACACACTGTGAAAGGGTTAAAGTTGTATGATATAAACATAGACAACTCCCAGACCAGACAACGCCGTGGTAGCACAAGGTAGCCCCGCCCTAAAGCATACTATGGTCTATTTGACCCTAAATGGACCATAACATACTAAATGAACATCATGCTGTATTGAAAAAGACTTGAAACTAGAGATTGAGACCATAAACTCATGTTTACAATGTTTACTGAGGTAATAAATCAAGAGAGAAGTAGAGCTATTTTTTCATAGACTTCTATACAATCTGACTTTTTTTTGCAACCAGAGGAGTTGCCCCCTGATGGCCAGTAGAGAGAATGCAACTTTAAGGCACTACCGTATTGGATTCACTTTTCAGACCCAGAGGGTCGCCAAGTCAATTGCAGAAGTCCAACAGGAAAAGACACATGAGTAGATCATTTTCGAATATTTTCACAATGCCATGGCCATTTTGAATAAAGTGGTGAGTGAAAGTGGCGTGAAAATGGTAATCAATGTATCATAACAAGGGCTTGTATATCTGCAACCTTATGATCTCCCGGTTTCCCTTTCTGAATGACGAACACGTACTGTCAGTTCCTCTCACACAGGCGCAGAATGTACGTGCTAATTGGCTGTTGGCTATAGTCTTTACGGTGTGTTCATGTGCAACTTTTTGGACAAGACAGCCTACGTGAGGCGACACAACATCGACATTCGTTGCTGCTAGTTCTTTGATGTTGGTTTTGGTGCGACTGGGCCTTTACATTCATCGGGTGGCCAGAGACACGACTTCAAATGAATGCTCTGTATCTACCGGATTTGTAGGCATGGGGAACTTTGTAAAGTCAAAATATGTCAACGTGTGGCCAAGATTGTATGTACAAAGTTATAAAGAACCTGGTTTAACTGTTGTCTTTGTTGTCGCAATGCCACCTCACACCTGTTGAGGCCAAAACTACAAAAACAAGACCTAAGTTTTAATAAACTGGACTCATAAAAAAAGTTTTAGTCTTTTTTTCAAGAGAAATTGACTGAAAGATCTGCGTCCCTGTTTCTCCCCAGGGTCACCGTACTACTACAGTGCAACATCACGGGGGGCGGGCCCTGCTGCCACTGCAACAGCCTCCGCCTACGACCGCCACTGACCCCTTCCACTAAGAGACGACAAGGATGAGGGGGGGAGGGGGGGGGACAAGGGGACGGATAGCACCAGCACTGCACAGTACAAACCTGCCTACGCACGGATGACAATGAGGATGAAGATTTCAAATTTTTGACGTCAGTGAAGTTTGAATTTTCTTTGACTGACACTTAAGCCGACAAACGCACTGCTGGGCTGAAGACAAGCTGTATGCGTATGACATTACTGTGAGGACACAGGCTTGACAGTGTCAATAATTGATATCGGATAAAGAAATGGTCAGAAGCAAGTGAATTTGGACCCTCCTTTGATAAATCAAGGCTTTGGTATCCCTGTCCTGTCTTTTACCAATAATCTACAAATCCAAGAAGTAAGTGGACTACGTGGTGACTAAAACTGTGTTGTGATCTTGGGTGGTTAAATGTTGCGTTTTCAGGTTGAAAAAAATATTCTTTGAGGGAACTATTTGAGTCGATTCGAGCAAAATTGCTTTTTCAAACAGTGTCTTTTTATGCCCCCGACATCAATCAATCAATTTTCTATGCCATGCTACGGTGAAGTAAAGACAATCCAATTCCCATAACTTTGAAAGACCAAAATCACCCATATCATTACCATTCTACTCTCTCTTCTGTAGATGCAACACGTTTCCCCTGGGATCACAACGCTCAATTAACGGGATACTGCCATTTTCAATTGGGAGGAGTCAGTTTCACAATTGACCGTTCACTAAGCCCCGCCCCCACGAGCTACTGTCGCTCTGCCTGTCAAACTTTCTGTTATATACAATGATACCATCAACACTGTAGGGGTTGTTGAAACAATGGATCCTTTCAGACAGAAGTAGACAGCCTGCTACTCTCTATTTTGTGGACTAAAAAACGGACGCAAAAGCCTTCGCAAATCCGGCCTACAGTTTCATCTGTCATTACCACTTTTGCTCTTCTGTTTTGGGGTTTGAAAAAAGGCTCGAAGATAAGTAGTATCTCTCTTACTAGAGCCCCCGTGCACACCGCCTCGACATGTGAAGAAATCCAAAGCTTGACGGGCCAGCCGTGCTTAGTTACGGTCGCCGAGCTACGATTGGATGAATCGCTGTACCGGGGTGAGCTTCAGTCGAACGCTCAGTTCCGGTGGTTGCAGCCAGATGCCAGTGTGTATCACAGAACGTCTAACGTCCACGCTTTCATGCATTCAAAGTGGCCGTGAGTGCCCCTGACTGACGGACAGGCCTTTCAGCAAAAGCACAGCCTAAAATCTGAGCCCTCCACTGTCAAATGGACAGTGAACACATTCACATCAGACCAAAATAAAAACCCACCGGGGAGAGTCGTCATACAGGAAGGTGCAATCACACCTCCCCAGCCAAGACGCAGTCCGGATCAAGAGCTATTTATAATGGGAGGAGACACAGAGTAATATATTAAGAAGCTTTTCTGCGCTGCACTCTGTGACAAGAGTGAATGCCTGTTAATGATTTATAATATGTGTCACGCTGTTGTGCTAGAATAGTGACGATGATGATGATGATGATAATGATGACGATGCAGTGAAATATGAAATCTTAAAAAACGTTGAAGAAGTCCTTGTTTATAAATATGATCTGAGTTTCATGTTTATAGTTTGTCGCCTGGTAACAGTTAACGCAGGTGCCATTGAATTTTTAAGAAACGCCATTTTTATCTACTTCCTGAATATTGATGGCCAGGAAGCTGCGGCACCCTCTCTCTCTCTCTCTCTCTCTCTCTCTCTCTCTCTCTCTCTCTCTCTGTCTGTTGCTCTCTTTCTATTTCTCTCTCTAAACTCCCCAAAGATGGCCCCCCCTAGTGGATCGGCTGACTAACTACAAAAGCACAAAGAGACTCAATCATCATTTAAAAGGCGCCATTTTGCTTTTTTTTTTACTTCCCTTTAGAACCATTACTTCTTCTTCTTCTTCTCCCCCTTTTGAGTGCGTGTCCTTCAGCTTGTTTGGCATCCCGAAATTGTTTCTCTAAGAGCATTAATTTTCGTGAAAAAAAGAAGAAAACAAGCGTTTTATTTTTGTTTGTCTCCTCCATCAGTTCTGCGCTGTGACAATATATGACACCAGGGTCGAGGCCTTACCCATCACGTACAGACAGACCAGGACAGATTTGCCCTTCGGCGCTGATCTGAAATCAGTGTGTTTCCCCTCTAAAATGTGCTTCTTTTTTTTTTTTTTGGAGGGCCCACGGTGTTGATCTCGTGAGAGGGCAGAATCTCCCCTGAACCTGTACGCAGCTTCCTGTCTCACTTCTGTCCATACAAGACTTGTACAGTAATCAGTGAACGAGAAGAGAAGTCACAATGTCTATAGCGATTTCAGTTATTCACATTTTAGATTTTAGTGATGAAGCTTTCTTTATGATAAAAAAAAGACTAAGAAATGTGTGGTGTTGTTTTAGCCATCGTCTGCAAATGTTTACATATCTTTTGTTGTTGTTTTTTTTGGTATGCGTGGCTGACCGTAGCGCTTCATTGCTACTGTGTAGTTTTACTAGCGAACAGATTGAAGGCACTAAATCTGCAGCGGGAGACATGAAAATAAAGCTATATATAAACATACACCTATGAACACTGAGCGAAGCTGTTAGTTTTCGAAATCTTTGTTGTTCCTGGGTTTTTTGAAATAGCGATAGAGTGGATCCTTTTACATTTGTAGACCTTCAAAGTTGTGCTGCACACGTCTCTAAAGCAGATTCTTATGTCGGCTCACCCACTGTGCTGCCGGCGTGCACCGCAGCAGGAGCCCTTCCTTATTTCTGTCTTTCTCTCTTGATCCTTCTGAGGCATTATTGAACCTGAACCACACCAGCTGAAAACAAGGACAGTGCCTTTAGTTTTATATGTCCCCCCCCCCCCCCCCGCCCACCACCCCTGCCAACCCCCCCATACTGACCACGCATCACTTGAACAAGATTCTGCGTCCCTCCCTGTAACTCCTCACACAAACAAAAACGCTGCCCATGACAACGCAGGGTTGTCGTTTATATGAAGCCTTCCACGTGAAAGTAGCAACCAGTGAGCTCTGATAACAGGACCTGGCCCTGATCCGGCACCCTATACTCACTCAGCACACACATTTCAGTCACAGACTCACCAGGGTAATGTTGAACTCATGCGATGCAAAAATGAACAATCTGAAAACGACATCATGTGGCTGGAAAGTAACAAAAATCTAAATATATTCCAAGAAAGGCCTATTTTTAGGAAAGTCAAGGGGAGCAAGTGTAAAATCAAAAGATGGCCCGGGACTCTTTCCTCGCTCAGCGACACGAGCGATGCTAAGCAGTGCTGCCTCTGGTAGCCTGAAGATGTATAAATGAGATGGCAGTTTGAATTGCTATTATTGCTTCAATTTAGGTTCCAGCCACCAGTGGCAGCACTGAGTCAACGATGCAAAGAAGGGATTCCTGTCGTTAGATGACTTTAAAGATTCAATGTAAGGGATTCAGAGCATTAATATAGCGGCCAAAAAGTATTTGCTATGTAAAGATATAGTGGAGGAATGTCTACCTGAACAGAGAATGAAGTCGCTCTCTGCGTGTGTTGTAATCACTGCCTTCAAACGGTGGTCAACACTGTTAGCTCTGTCAACACAGTTTTCTGTGGTTTGCGCGTTTAGCACTGGCTAGCTGCGGGCCACCAGCTCAGCCATCGCCATGTTGAGAGCCATTGAGAGGCAATAGAAATGCTCCCATCTTTTTTTTTAGCTCTCAATAAAAGAGCTATTTCATGGATTGATATTTGGTACAAACATTCATTCCGGAGTGACTGAAATTTCTAACTGAAATATACAAATTTGGATAAATATCCATGCAGGGCCGTGATCCGGCCTCGGATCAGGGCTAAACAGGACCCACTGGCTAGACAAGGAGTGAAAAAACGCACAAAAATACAAAAGCCAAGTAAGTGACAGACATGTTACAAGTCTGTTCATTAATATTGCTTTTTTATATTATTATTCAACCAGAGCATCTTATAAATGAATACACCCTTTTTCACACTAACACACACACACACACACACACACACATTCCTGTAAACATGACGACATATCGATTGGGAATCGTTCTCCTTGAAGAGGTGAAGCCAGCCGCACCTCCCGTGTCCGCTCGCCAGAAGCTGCGACACCAAACGGGGCCCAGATTCCTTCTCCGGCGTAGCCAAGAAGCCCAGCCACAAGTTAACAGGATTATTTGTTCAACTATGCATCTCGTAGTGACACAGCTTGCCTTGCCATTGCTTTGACCTAATTGGCTCACATGGGGAGAGAGAGCGGGGCTCTCATTGGGCCGCCGTCGTCTTCGATTGGCAGCCGTGACATTGACTGCAGCAATGAGAGGTGGTGGTGGTGGGGGGGGGGTTGTCGTTGTGGGTGGTACTGTAGGAAGCACGGGCGGGCAGAGGCCACACACACACACACACATAAATATAAGTACAGACACAAACTCTCTCCCTCCCTTTGTCCTTTGCAGAGAGTGGGGATCGCCCCTCCTCCTGTGGCCCATGTGTTCCCCAGGGGAGGCCAAACCTGCTGTGCCATCAGAAGCTCATCCCATCTTTTTTCTCCCCCTCCTCCCCTCCCTCCCTCGGCCCTAATCTCATCATATCTCACGCACTCGTCTCCCCTCCCCCTCCACTCCTGTAGCACTGCCACACTACCAAGATTAGGAATATTAAAAGTATTCTGTGGATTTCAGGCCTGTGACCTTAAACAAAAATAAGTCATCCCTCTTTCCCTCTCACCCCCCCCTTCCCTCCATCTCCCTCTCTTACTTTCCTCTCTGACTATTCAGACGAGATGCTCACACTGTCCTGTCAGACATTCTGCGCAGGAATGAAGCAGGGTGCCAAACCGAGGTCATTTCAATGGCAACATTGCTGCCGGTATTCTTTATTTGGCCAAGAATATTCTGTGAGATGGCATCTCGTAATTCTGTAGAGCGTTTAAAAAACACAAAGAAACAGCGGTTTCTGATCAAACAAAGACGTTTCATTTCTAGTTTACTGTCCATGAAAATTCAAATCGTATCCTGAGTTGTTGTTTTTTTTATCCCAGCTCCAAATCAAATAGAAAACTGAAATAAATGCAAATTAGTTTTTTTTTTTTTTCTTTATTATGATTTCTCAGCGAGTGTGCACCGCCCGACTGTATCTCAATATGAAATCCATGAAGATGGCTACTGCCTCTGTGAAACCTGAGGGGATTTCAGCATCACATCTTGACAGCAATTAGTGGCACAATCTGTTTCATGCTTGCTGATATAACTAGGCTCTGGACAGATCTCATACTGAAGTGTTACAATGTTCTGTACATCTTAATATTATTCAACTGTGGAAGAGGAGACATACACAGGACTCAGCCTACAAAAATCAACTGTGCTTTTTAAGCAGATGTTTCAATCAAAGTAAAAAAGAAAAGAAAAAGAAAAATAGATAACATGATTTTTCACCTTACTGTGGCCTTTCGTGTAACAATCTGGAGTTTTTTTTGTGTCCATGGCTTCCTATCTGGGGTGTTAAAGAGATATTTATATCTGTGACGTTTTCGTTAAGAAAAAAAAAGAAAAATACATCTGAATGCGAAGACGAAATTACGGTTCAACGTTTCAGCTTCTTCGAAATCAAACGCGACAAAAAGAAAACATATCTGTAACATTCACCAAAGCCTGCGATGCCTGTTTTAAATAATAGATTCTTGTACAAAAAAAACCCCACATATAAAATAGCAGAAAAGACTTACAGATACAAACACAAAATGAAGATAAAGAAATGCCTTCAAATATTCTGGACGGGAGGATTTAAAAAAAAAAAAAAGTTAAAAGAAATGCTTCTTAAAGAAAATGTGTATGTTTTTTATTCGATTTTCTAGTAGTTGCAAACAAAACTTGGTGTTTTTTCTCTTTGTGTGTTGCGTGTTGTCTTAATATTTGAATGTATTTTACTGCAGTGCGAATTTGCCAAAGATATCATATCACTTGATTTCTCTCCTTTTATTTTATTTTTCTTTGGGGGGGGGGGGGGCGCTTTTTTTTGTTCCTGAATTGTGACCAATTTTGTTCAGAAAACTGGAAATAAATGTTAAATTTGATATTATGCTTATTTTTCAGATTCCATGTTGATATTATCATTATTTTATTCCCTGGGTTTGAGTTTACTGTGAAATATTAAATTGCAGTTTGCTTGATGCATCTCTTCATACTGTGTACATGTCCATCCGTCCACCTGAGTGACTGTTGTTGGTGAATTATTCCATTTATGTACCTGTAATGTGAAGCTAAGAAGTAATTATTTGTAAATATTTGCCATAATTTTATTGGTCCTTCAGAATAAAAAATAATTTTTTGGAAGTTACAGTTTCCGTGTCAGTACTTGGCTACGAATGTGCCCGTGTTTTTCTTGCATAGAGACAGAACACACGCACACCTATTGCCACATTCCTCCACGTCCAGCGTCAGCCTGGACAGACGGAGACTTGTCTCAGTGTGACAGCTGTGCAGCTTTCATCCTGGGGACACATCTCGGGGCATCTATCTGGAGGCGAGGATTGTGTGTGTGTGTGTGTGGGGGGGGGGAAAGCTCCTCACCCCACCACTCGGGGTGAACAGAGAGTCCCAGTGCTGCAGTCTTGGCTGCTGGCCGAGTCCAGGAGGGGGCAGAAGTGTGTGTGTGTGTGTGTGTGTGTGTGTGTGTGTGTGTGTGTGTGTGTAGAGGGGACTAAGAGGAGGAGGAGGAGGAAGAGGGAGAGGGGTGATAATAGGACACAAGCCACGACATGGCGACAACACGCCACACACACAGAAAACAGCACAAACCCAGCTTGAGACACAGGCCGGGCTGTCCACAGTTTGGGTGCCTGCCCAGGACTGCAAAACAGCACGGTGCGCTTGCTTGTGTGTGTGCATGTGTGTGTGTGTGTGTGTGTGTGCAAGCTCATTTTGGTTCCTCGACAACTAAAGGCAGCCCTGTAAGAATTAATCATATGGTAAATATTTGTAAAGATTGTTTTATTCCAGCAATCAGGGCTGGAATAACCCTCTATGGGGCCAGGGGCAAACATGAGCTGTGGGCCCTAAGTGGGCCCTTCCACACATTCCAATGCCATGGCAACTAATCAGAAGGTAGCCCTGCCCTAAAGCATACCTCTAAATGGACCATAATTTACTAAATGAACATCATGCTGTCTTGAAGAAGACTTGAAACTAGAGATTGAGACCATAAACTCATGTTTACAATGTTTACTGAGGTAATAAATCAAGAGAGAAGAGTCATTTTCTCATAGACTTCTATACAATCACACTTCTTTTTGCAACCGAAGGAGTCGCCCCCTGCTGGTTAGAAGACAGAATGCAAGTTTAAGAAGTCAATCATTTTTTATATATGATTTGCTTTCTTTCCTAAATTGGTGGAATCATGATAAGAGTGGACCAGGATCTACATTTTGTATAACCGCAATATAATACCACAATATAATACAAAAAGCCCAAAAATACAATGATATACATTTTAGGTTGAGTGTTTAGCAAGACGCTATTGAGTTGCATTATGGGAATTGCAGGATCCAGTATTTTTTGGAGATTTACTCATGCTAGGGACTAAAAGTCGACCTTTGTTGCTTCGGTTTTGATGTTTTCTTTCTTTTTTATCTGTCAATTACAACATCAGCTAAAAGTGTAATTTATTTAAACAGTCTCCCTCTGCACTTACGATGCATGTAACAAAGACACAAGACGATTAAGGTATGGAAAGAAAGTTTCATTTTGCACTGCCTTAGTTTAAAGAACTATGCAAGTAGACTACTCAAACCTCACGCTGTTTGACTGACAGGTGCAGAGCCGACATATGATCCGTCAGATCAATGTCGGCTTGAAAA